AAGCCAGCATCCGGGCCTGATAGGCCTCGACCGTTTCCTCGGACTTCTGATCCATGCCGGCTGTTTGTAAGCACGTGAGCATCGACCAGGCCGGAGGACTGCTGACGTGGCACTCCCTGCTGCTGACATGACACTCCTTGCTGCTGATGTGTCCTGCTGATGTGTCCTGCTGACATGGCCTGCTGACATGGCCTGCTGACGTGGCCTGCTGATGTGGCCTGCTGACATGGTCTGCTGACGTGGTCTGCTGACGTGGCCTGCTAACGTGGTCTGCTGATGTGGCCTGCTGACGTGGCAACTTACCAATGCCGCCGCAGGGGGTACCCGGAGACAGATAGAGAAGTTTTGCAGAGAAAAAAATTCGAGAAAATAAAAATCCTGAGTTTTGCAAGTTCAGTAGGTCTCCCAATCTCCCTTGAAGTGCGAATTTATCAATGAGAAAAAAAAAAAATTGACTGCCGATGATTATCAGATAGTGAAAATCATAGAACTGCGAATAAAAAGAATTCCGAAAAAAAAAAAAAAAAATATTCCGAATTGCTTAGATGAGAGTACGGGCAGTTCGGAAAATGGTAACTGCAAGAGGGATTTCCCGTACCGTTTTCAAAAAAACGAATTTCGGAAATAAAAAAATTCTGGACTTCCAAATAACGGGAAATCGCAAAAGGAAATCGAAATTTTCAAAAAAAAAGATATTCCAGATTTCCAACGACGAAATTTTGAATTTTCAGAAGAAAAACGAAAACGGAAATTTCAGGTGTTGCGCTATTGCGATTTTCCACAACAGAAATAACGAGAAAACAAAATCCAAGAAAAGAAAAAAATTTTGATTTTCGGCAGTGAGGCCAAAATCGTGATTTTGGGTGCTAATTAGTGTGCTCTAATCAAGCAAGCAAGCAAGCAAGATTCAAGACTAATCAACTATTTAGTCCCCGCACACGTGTCAGATCAGGTTGTCCTGATTCACGTGCGGTGTTCCGATACCAACTGTTACATGCCCAGTTGGGCGATGTGCATAAATAGCCAAGGATTCGCAATGTGATGAGAAGGACTGAATGGACAATGCAGTGCTAGTAGAATCTCAACAAGCAGTGTACATCCTGATACATACAAAAAATGGTGCTTTGTAGCGCAGTGGAAGACTTAGATATAAGTCCTGACCTGACCGGGACTGACCTCTMTCACGTAGTACAAGACAGCRTAGCAGAATGCTAGAATACCAATRACTATCCCAATCAATGTCGCAATGCAGACCARACATACATCATCCTCATCACAAGGTGTGAAGRGGCCTGGCMCTACACAMAGGAAGAATGCGCCAGGTCCAGATCATGCACAGAYGAAGAGRAGGGAATCAGACGAAGAAGAGGGGGGGAGATGGGAATGTCGTCAACACCAAGTCTTCGTTACAAGTCCCAAATAGTCCCTCGTCAAATGTCTGAAGCCCAATGTCGAGTCTGGATCCAAACGTCACCAATCCCTCTCTCTCGTAGCCTGCTGATGCAGTGAAGTCAGGTAGCGAGAGGGTGAGAGGGAGATGGTGGACTGAGAAGAGGAAGAAGAAGAACTCTCTCTCTCTCTCTCATGTGCCAGGTACTAACCTGTGAAGATGGCGCTGTGCTGCAGGTACCTCGAAGACGAAGCTGGAGCTATGGCGCTGCACGTAAGTCTCCCTGGCCTCCGCCCAATCTCTCTCTCTCTCTCTCTCCAGTACTACTCTAGCTCCTACTAGCGCCCAGCGCTGAAGACTACCGCTAACGCTACTACTACTACTGCAGCGCTCCTCCAGAGTGCTGCTGCAGAATCCTGAAGACTACCTCCTGCCTCCTGAACTGCACGTGAAGTGCCTGGGAAGTTCCTATGAACTACCTGCAGCCCGCAGGGCGGGCCAGTCTTATATAGTGCTGGCCCGTCCAGGAGGCTGCTCTTGCCAATGCCAAAACGTGGCAGACCCTGGCGTTGAAGCTCAAACAAAGGTTGTCTTGAAAACAGGCCCAAAATGGCCTGTGCTAAAACCCTGGTCTGGTGCCTAAGTTTCAGGGCAGGTCGATCTTATGAGGGTCTGAAAATGGCCCTCAGTTTCAGGCTGAAAAGACTCAGGGCCTGGAGGGCCCTGTTTTAGGCTGAAACGACACAGGGCCTGTAGGCCCTTGTTTTCAGGCTTTCAGGCTGAAACGACACAGGGCCTGTAGGCCCTTGTTTTTAGGCTTTCAGGCTGAAAACAACACGGGCCTGAAAATGGCCCGTGCAGCCTGTTGCAGGCGCCGCATGCAACACTCTCTCTCCATCCACACCCCTCGCTGTGTGCGAGAGCCTTAACGCTAATTGAGAAAGCTAAGAACAACGGAACGCACTCTCTATATCGTCCCCAGATAAGGGAGCACGAAGCGAGGGAGGACGGAGGGCCAAGGAAGGTAACCTCACCGGAGGAAGGAGGCAGAAGGCGAGGGAGGGAAGAAGGAAGGAGAGAGGGAGGGAAGAAGGAAGGAGAAAGGGAGGAAGGGGGGAGGCCCGATGGGGCAGGGGTGAGCGAGGGAGGAGAGAGGGAGGAAGGAGGGAGGACCGATGGGGAAGGGGTGAGCGAGGGAGGAGAGAGGGTAGACGCAGGAATGGAGCACGGGCTGAGGGAGGGAGGAGGGAGGAGAGAGGGTCGAGGCAGGAATGGAGGACAGGCCGAGGGAGGGAGGAGAGAAGATCGAGGCAGGAATGGAGGACGGGCCGAGGGAGGGAGGAGAGAGGGTCGAGGCAGGAATGGAGGACGGGCCGAGGGAGGCGGG